GGGGGGTACACGTGTCAGCTTTTTCCTTGAGAGTAAGAAAAATGCGATGCTTACCCCGAGAGAGTCTGGGGATATTAAAAAATGCGCTTTTCTACTAACACGTGTCCCTGTTCCTTCCTATTCACAGTGCAGCAGTCTCGGTGATATTGGACTGAGCTCTTGTTCCGCACTTGCTTTGCTGTACTTTGCATTCTATGGAAATCTGGTCGTGCCAAAAGACAGACCAACATCCCCCCTCCCCACTCTCCTACGCACCCCGCACTTTGCACCCCGCACCTCACCCCAACCCCTAAAACATGGGTTGCGTCTGGAATGATACTCGGTATATCTTGACAATCGCATTCTTACACTCTTACAAACAATAAACAGGGTATGGCTACACTATAGCTTCACGTGAATTCCAACACTTGGGCGCAAATAAGGACATCTCTGGTCACGCAAGTGTCAAATTTTGAAGATGCGATAATGATTGTAGACGAGTGCATTCCTCCGGGAGGGAAGAAAAGTATTTATGGTCGAAGGAAGCCATTAAAAAAAGGTTTATTGTTGGGGAAAAAGGGGGAGGGTTGAGAACTCGTTCGTTCCCTTAAACTTCGCACACTTTGGGCCTGGCGAACCTGCTCGTTTCCAAGACAATGTGTTCTCTTTTTGAAATGACTTTTGAAATGAAAAATGGCATCCCGCATTTCAAAGTCTTTCAGCAAAAAAGTTGTTCTCGTGCAAAATCTGTTTAATAATCAAATTGTCAATGATTTTTTTGTCTCCTTCCCTGCCGATAGAAACGGATATAAATCTCGGACACACGCAACTGACGACTCGTATGCACAATTTGGTGAAATAGAAATTTCACAGCTTTCTGGTTCAGGAGATAGCTATTGAAAGGATTGCTTACTTAAAACTTATTTGTATGTATGGTATGGGCATTTTTGTGAATTTGTATGGCATGTTATTTGTTACCTAAATTAGCCCACTATACTTTTCGTCAGAATGACAAAACCCCGACATATCGGTTATCACTCCCTTTCGCAATAAGAACTGCAGTGTCAAGGGGAAGGGGGGGGGGGCTGTCATACAAACAAAAGATAACGAATTTCTATTGGGTAAAAAGCGAAACTTGAGCCACGGTCCAACTTCCTGAATGGAAAGGTTTTGTTGGGGGTTTTCGTTTGTTTGATTGTTTGATTGTTTGTTTGTTTGTTTGTTTGTTTGTTTGTTTGTTTGTTTTCTAAAACATTGTGTAGTTGGGTGTAACTGAATTATTAGGACCAAAATGTAAGCATAGAGAGAAACTTCGGGAGACGTGCCCTTGAAATCAGCCAAGAAACGGAAGAAAAATACCCGTGTTAAAACCGCTCAACGTTTGAAGGACACGTTAGGGGAAAACTTTAACCAGAACACGTTGTTTTCTTGAACCTGACGACTGATGCCCGTGATCTTTCAGATTTTACGGGGCGGTTGGCGGGTGTTATTGTCTTGCCTTTTTTAAAAAAATAATTCTGCTGTGTCTGTTCACCCTGCCTTTTCCAAGATTTATTTGTTTGTTGTCCTTTCGGCGTGCGTCTCTTTAACTTCATAATGCTATTCCCTGCTCCATTCAAAAAGGAGTACAATATATATATATATATATATATACATATATATATTGATCGTTATATATATATATATATATATATATATATATATGCTACACATTGCGATAATCTCTCTGTCGGTAATCGAAAGCAGATACAGAGGTAGATGATGGTTAATGTTTTACTCCCCTACAGATATAATTTAGATCACAAGAAAATTGTATGGACTGGCCCTACCGTTC